TATCTATCTATCTATCTATCTATCTATCTATAGATACTGTATCTATTATATCTAACTATATCTGTCTCTGTTCTATCCACTGTAATTTATCTATCTATCCATCCATCCATCCATCCATCCATCCCCTGGCCTTATTGTTTTTACAAATAACTCAAGGCAGTGAACATATCGCACATCTCTCTCCTCCTGTTTCCGTACAACAACAACCCTTTGAGGTGAGTTGGACTGAGAGAGTGACTGGCCCAAAGTCACCCAGCTGGCTTTCATATACAAAAAGAAAATACTCAGGTATCACTCTAGTATTCCATATAATCAGATTCAATTATAACAATCACACTATCAAGCCTCTTGCTTGGGGAAGGTATGGTTTTAATTTTAGAAGTTCTCTCTCCCCCTGAGCCTCTTGCACCAAGCATAGCTCTTTGTAGTGAATAGTCCTCAAGTGTCAGAAGAGCTGCTCTAGAATAGATCTTTTGAGGCTGCCCAGCAGTACTAAGTAAGAACATGACCCTGTAGAAGTAGCATTGAAAGATAACCTTGAAACAGTTCAGTAGAAACTAATCCAAAATATGTAGCTCTCCTCAAGATAATGATGTACCTTGGACACGACTACTCATTGTCTTAAACATTGTAATTTAGTCTTTTTGGGAGGAAATGTACAAATATTATTGCAAGTTATATTTAGTCTTTAACAAAAAAAATCTTGGCTTACCAATTATCACAGTTTCACCAAATGTAACTGCTTTAACAATTGTACCAATCTGAGAACTTGCAGCAAGATGTTATCATGAAAAGATGGATAAAGAAACAACTTTTGAAATGTGTTTGCATATGGAACAAAATTACAAACTAAACACTGAAGGTTGTGTCCTCAAATCAAAAAGGTAAATCCCAATCTTCACTATCTCCTTTCCTCCTGGTCTTCCCCACTTCTTCTTTTATCCTAAAAATAAGATAGATAGACCATGCACCACTAACCAATTTTAAAGGAGAATTATTTTTAACATGTTCTCATTTCAGCCCAAAATAGATGTAGCTTAATATTGTTTCTCAATCAAGTCAGCCTTCCAAATTGAATTAACAATTTAGTTGCAGTATTATAAAATGATATATATGGTATTCAGCTTTGTCCGGGTATTTCCCTACATCATTATAGTTGTGCTTTCAAAGTTGTAGCAACGTTTTGGCAGAATCTCATCTGCCATCATCAGGTTTCTGTATTGTGTTCGTCTGCTAGCCATCTAGCACCAAATTTAAAACAGAAACGGCTGTGAAAGTCTGACTCACAGATGAACACAATACAGAAGCCTGATGATGGCAGATGAGATTCTGCCAAAACGTTGCTACAACTTTAAAAGCACAACTATGTTGTAATGACGAAGCAGTCGAGTTGTTTGATCATGAACAACTGAATCATGATGATCTTTATTGGAGTCTAGTCTTGCATTTATACACATTTTTAATTATCCTCCATCATTGGTTAACTTTGGTTACTGCTTATCTTTCGTTACTGTTTAGCATAGTAATCCATACAATTAATTATCTCTAGTTAAAGTCTAACATATGTTTACTTCCTCTCTCTAATCCTCCTTTAGAGTAGTGAGTTTGTTTACCTGAGTTGTTTTCGCTTGGAAACATTTTTATCTGAGGTTTGCTATCCGAGATTGGAACATTCCTGCAATTACAACTCTACATATCCTCGTTTTTTATTTTAAATGGAGGATTCAAAGATTTATGAATGTATCGCAATTGTAGAGGATTAAGAGAAGGGGAAGCAGGACGAAACAACGCAAATAAATTTGGAATACATTGAATAAAACAACAGGTTGCAATTAGTACAATAATAATAATTATAGCATAAAAGAAAAACTGTCTGAGCCAAGACCAATCAGGGAGCCAGTTGGTTAGCCACTCAAAAGGTGAGTAATGAGCATGGATATTATTTTGAATGTATGATTGTAAATTGGCAAGCTCATCCTCAATAGTTTTATTCAAAGAATGAAAATGCACAGCATATCCACGGTGTCCAACTAACGTACAGAACCCTCCCTGACGGGCTAAAAGATAGTCTATGGCGAAACGCTGCTGTAAGACATCTTGATTTAAGTCTTCTATTTCATGCTGCAAATCACGAATAATAGCAGCGGTAGCATTGATGGATTTTTCAAGTCTGCAGGTGAGACCAAGAATAGATCGTCTGTTTTCTTGAGCAATTATGCTGGGATAAGAGCCTAGAGTAAGGACTCCTGTAACGGCCCCTGCCAATGCACGGCCAAATGTAGAACCAGAAGACAATTGTGTGTCAATAATGACTTCATCATTACATGTAGTCCCCAGAGAGGAACGCCGCTGTCGAGATGATGGGAGCGTACCTATTTGAACAGGTAGAGTAAAATAACCTATAGTTGCACATTGATAATTCTGCGGATGAACATTAGTAGCATATTTATAAAAAAAGAACCACATATTAGGATCCTTAAGCTGCCAACCAGCGCATATCAATCCTGTACTAGATTGATCAGAGGCATTAAAAATAGGAAAATTGTCAGGATACATATCAGGAGCTATATTAATTCCATGCAAAGAAGAATTAAAGGTACCTGACAACCAATAGTAGTCAGAACAATAACTATAATTCCCTAGCTTTTTAAATATGTGCTGAGCAGCATCATAATCAGACCAATTATGAAGTCAAGTGTGTTTAGCATGACAACAGAAACACAGACCCCTTGTAAATTGACTAACTTTCAAGTAACGCCAACGGACAGAATTCAATTGCATAGGGGGTGTAGAAAATAGCCAGGAGTGTGAAATAGATTGCAGTTGTGAGACAATAAATGTAGAAGACATGATCAAGTTAGGGGTAAAAGAAATTTGACCAAATGCCATGGGGGCTCATAGTATAAAGTAATATTTGTGCCATGGGTCATAAACATGTATTGGGCATGACAAACCCACAAATTAGGGTTAAGACAAACCTCAGAAGTATCATTTTGAGCAGAAACACCATTAACCATAAACAAGAAAATACAAAGTAAAATGGTAACAGAGTTAGCAGTAATAATAGCAAAAACAGCAACAAGATTTTCAGGAGTCTGAGGTAATGAGGCCTGTTGCAGTTGTTGTTGAGCTTGATATGTAGTAGATTTAGCCTGGCCCCAAGTGATGGGTAGCGGGTGCGTTGACCTTGGAAGATGGACTTCTGTGTTCAGATAGCTTGAAATCCGGAATTGGTTTCTGAAGGCCCTGATGCCATGCCATGATACGGATGAACACAGCGTGCTGGAATCCACACTGCTTGTCGAGTAGAAGGATCTTCCACAGCGGCATAACCGCGACCCCAGGTGATCAGCGGTGTAGGGCCTTTCCAGGTTGGATCTGGAGCTTGGCGATACTTTACCAAAAGCCTTGCTAAAGATTCAGTAGTTCGGAAATGTAAATTAACAGGTGAGTCTGCAAGAAAATCTAAAAAGGTTAAATAATTCCAAGTATATAATGCTACAGCAATAAGATTTTGAATCTTTCGCAGATGGTAAGGGCCAGACTCAGTTTGTAATTGTTTCTGAAGCAATGCCTTAGAAGTACGATGAGCTCACCCAACTATAGCTTGACCCTGAGGAAGGAATTCCCTAAGGAATTCCATGCACTAAAGTAATATTCCATTTCTGACAAAAGGTTTGAAATTTCCTACTAATATAAGTGGGGCCATTGTCAGTTTTAAATTGAGAAGGCTGACCCATTATAGCAAAAGAGGATAGGCAATGAGAAATAACATCTGAAGTACGTTCATGTTTTGAAGCAGTAACCCAAAGGAAGTGTGAATGAGTGTCAATAGACGTATGAAGATAACAGTATGGCTTAAAGGTTGAAAATTGAGTTACATCCATTTGCCAGATTTGATTAGCTTGGGTTCCTCGTGGGTTGACACCCACTGGAAAGGGAACTGTCAGTTGCTGACAAGCTGGACAAGCATAGACAATATCCCGGGTTTGAGATAATGAAATTTTAAATTGCTTTGCAACAATTCTTATCCAAAGAGAGAGCACAATAAGAAAAGGGAAGAGATTGCATAGCTAAATACACATATTGAGTATCAACGATCAAGTTAATAGGTTGGTCATTGAACAATCATAAAGCCAAAATCACAGCAGCCAGCTCAGCATGTTGAGCTGAAGTCTGCATGGCAGTAAATTTAGAATACCATTGTTGTTGAATCTTCCAGACAACCACACCCCTTGTAGGTGATCCATCAGTAAAGACTGTAAGAGCTTTAGAAATAGGATTTCACACAAAAATAGAAGAAGAAGCAATTGAGCAACAGAAGAATTACAAGGAAGAACTTAAGGAAGATTCACCCAAATCTGA